AAAGAATTCGGTGGTGACTTATTAGGAGCGCCGTTCTCCCAGATTGCGTGGTGATTTCGAATCCAAAATTACCCACGTTTCAACGTTGCTGTCAGGGAGAGGGAAAACGCGGAGAAGGTTTGACCCTCTCAAAAGAAAGAGAAAATGCCCTTCCTGAATTTTATGCAAAAGCGATGGTCGCCGGAACACACTCTGAGATATCCGACCAATCGACCAACCAAAGTGAGGAGCTGGATGAATGTCGCAGTCATTCTTAATCTCTTTTCTAGCTAAACTCTATAGAGGAAAATGTGGGCATGGTAGCATTTATTCAGGGATCGGATCACGAGCTTTCGTAATGTATCAAAGGCAAATAATGTGGAAGTAGAGCTTGAGATCTCTCTAACCTGGCATGAAGCTGGGAATCACGGGCACACCCAGTGCGAGCGCCGTGCCCTCCATGATGGTAGACGAGTGTGCCCCGACAATATTTTTGAGACCGATTGCTTCCAAAACACCTGAAAATGATTTATCATACTGTAGTCTTAAGAAACTCGAGGTGATTATGCTTGAGGCATCATTAATAATATTTATCTCAGAGGCACAAACCCATTGCACTAACAAGGGAAGGATGGTAGGTCGAAGTGGCCGTTTAAAATGAGAATGTATACCACCTGATGCGTCTCCAGACGCTGATTCCAAATCTGCCTTCCAAATCTGCTAAACGACTCTCCGAACGGAGTTATGAAGCGTAATAGCTCAGTGGTGATGGTCCGGGGTGGCAGGTAAAAGCTCGTAGGATCGGTTCCTTTGCAAGTTTGTTGCTTTGCTTTTGTCTCTAGAAGTGTTGCGGACAAAAGCAAAGCAACAAACTTGCAAAGGAACCGATCCTACGAGCTTTTACCTGCCACCCCGGACCATCACCACTGAGCTATTACGCTTCATAACTCCGTTCGGAGAGTCGTTTAGCAGATTTGGAAGGCAGATTTGGAATCAGCGTCTGGAGACGCATCAGGTGGTATACATCTTCATTTTAAACGGCCACTTCGACCTACCATCCTTCCCTTGTAAGTCAAAGCTATATGAGTTCTGCGCCTGTGAGCTCGATCCTCCCTCCTCTCTTCTTTTTTCGGAAGCACATCTGAACCAGGCGAAGTACTCTCAAAATTAAGACAGGTGGGATTTAGTTTAATTATATTTGATTTTGAGTTGGCTCACCAGTGAAGAAAAAGCCAAGAGCTGCCAAGAACCTCATTTATCACGTTGCACCTTGATAGTTGGCGCGGGTTATGCTCTGGGTCAACCGTCCGTTGGACAAAGTCCAACGAGGGGTGGGGGGTCGTATTTGGGGTGGAAAAAGGGGGGTCGTATTTCGCGAGGTAGCGTTAATGTTACAGTAAGGGAAGTGATGATGCAGTTGGTTGGCGCGCTAAAATTTTGCCGTTTCACGGTGTGTATATGCCCCCTAGAAAATGTTGCAGTGGAAATATGGGTGAAATAGAGGGAAAGTGAGAGGATGTTTGCGGTTTCGTGGTAGGTATACCCCCCGCTCGACGGCAATTTTGGAGGAAAAAAGTGGGCGGAGTTTGGGCTGTGTCGACTGGTCTCAGAATCGAATACTATAGAATGAGCCCCATGATGGCGATGGCAGGCGAGGGTGGTGAAGGGTTGACCCTGAGGGGGTCGTATCCTCTAGAAGGGGGAGGGGGGTCGTAAAATTTCGAAATCGGTTCAACGTGACGGTTGACCCTGGTTGTGCTCCACCCTACAGAGTTGGCATTGACTGAGTGTTCCTCTGATACGGTAGAATACAGTAAAGGGATGAGGCTAAGGAATGAAATTCCCGTAAGGCGGGCGTCATAGTTTGCGAATCGAGCGATTCGCTAGCGAATCGAACGTTGCACCAGCGAATCGAACGTTGCACCAGCGAGTCGAACTATGTACCAGCGAGTCGAACTATGTACCAGCGACTCAATAGTGGCGGGACCCAACGTTCAAAGGAAGCCCGCCACTTTCAAACAGTGTCCACTGTCAAGTCCCGCCACTTTCAAAAGGTCCACTGTCACGTGACACTGTTTGAAAGTGGCTTCCTTTGAACGTTGGGTCCCGCCACTATTGAGTCGCTGGTACCTAGTTCGACTCGCTGGTACATCGTTCGACTCGCTGGTGCAAAGTTCGATTCGCTGGTGCAACGTTCGATTCGCTGGCGCAACGCTCGGATCTCGATTCGCAAACTATGACATCGGCCTAAGGGTGAAGCGCAAACTACGCCCATACGAATGGCGCGCAATATGACTTCAGGGGTTCATGAGTTATTTTTATCATTCATGGTGGGGCCACCACCACAACCAGTTTCATTTCCTCATGAACTCCCTATGTACCAAGCTCCAGCTATTCGATCAGGTTATGCACTTTGAATAACTCATGATTTGTTCCTTCCTTCATCTTGTTCATCTTCCTGTTTTACTCAGTCATGTTCACTAACCTACTCCCATGAAGTCGAACAGCTCGGTGATGGCGACGTCAAACTTTTCTGCTTTTAGTTGGTCAAGCAATTGCTGGTCGTCGAGAAGATCTGATCAATAGGTTGTATAAAAGCACATCGAAAAGGCATCGATCTAGGGATGCTAAACTCACGTGTTAGTGTTTTCACTGATACAGCAGAAATCATTGGAGCAAACTGAAAATGTGTGGTGTAAGTGCACAACTCTCAGTTTCTCAGTCACGTAAGATTGCTTAACCTACCATGATTAGACCGATAGGATTCGACGTGCTGCCCGTCCACACAAGCTTCATGTCGTCATTCCTTGTAGGCCGCGCCTCGTCAAATGGACCACGCTGGATGAGGCGCGACTTACTAGTGCCATTTGAAGCGATGGAAGGATCAAGCACAGGTTGTAGCGTCACCTGTAATCTAGCTGTGTACTCTTAAACTTAAATGCATGTCCAGGCATAGCTTCACTGAAGTAGTCGCCCCAGTGGATGGAGGTGTATACATAATCCGCCATCAGTGCCTGCAACGGTCGCCCCACCTTCACACATCGAAACGCGTCACTAATACGTCCAGGACTTGCATCAAATCACACAAATACCACCACCATCGCCCACCGTTATGCTATGCTCTCTCTCGAATGCTTTGACCCTCCCCGCGACTCACATTACCTCTCATGCCTGCCTTTTAAAATTAGACTTCTTCACAGCGTGGAGCAAATATGTACATGAAATTGACTTTTATTGAATTCAATAAAGTTTGCACTTATAATTGAGAGAAAATTTTTCATTGGTATATCATTATGTGGGGTCAGACAAAGTCCTCCGTTTCGCACGTGCCCTTAGACGGAAACTAGACAAATAATGTGTTCTCCCTCAGTGCTCATCGGTAAGTGGAAGAAGTAGTAGAGATTTGAAGCTTGTATTGTATATTAAATTATAATTGGGCGCTCATGCCCTTGGGGGGGGACATTTCAAACAAAGCAATCAACACCGAGAAAAGCGCTATGTTTGATTAAAATGTCTAGAAGATGTGGCTCGTACCTAGTTGAGAAGAATTCGGCACTCAATGCGAAATTGTGTTTGTCTGCGCCCTCTCGGCGAGATAGTGATAATGTCGCCGCTCAGTTCATATGAACTGCTCTAATACATGGTGACACATGTCTAATACAGGTCGATTCATGTTTAGTGCAGGTTCAGAATGTCCAAACACGCCTGAACGTGGCTAACATGTGAATTCCAATGCGCGGATGGCTTCATTGCCAGTTTATTCATGTTTTT